AGTACCGAATTTTTATTCCATACTTTTCTGAAAAAATGTAACGTTAAACGTTTAATATGCAAGAAGTATACATAAACACATAATGTTATACCATTTAATTTTTCAAAACAATTATTTTAACAACAATTTTTATCAAAAAATTATAAACTAAAAAACGTAAAATAAAGAATTCTTAGGATAAAAAAACGATTTTAAAATTTCCTCATATTGAAATAAAAAACTTCCATATTGTTTCTCTTTTTATTCTTATAGTTTTTAATCAGACGTAAAAAAGCTGTAGAGAACTATCATCAAATGAGAAAAAAAAATATTTACAAGCAAATTTTTTATTGTAAAAATAATTCCGGAGAATTCCAAAATGATATGTTCTTTGTGTGAAAACTTTATTATCAAATAATAGATACATAGTTTACCCCTTCATTACTTTTGGATAACATACTACACAGCAAAATTTTATAATTATAAGTTCTTGATATGAATTTGAATATGTAGCTAAAAACAGAATAGCTGAATTCTAGTTGAAATTATTCTTTCAAAACATAAAATACTTACCAAGAAAACGATAAAAAAAAATTAAGAATCAGCACAAATGGCACTATTTCAAGTAATTTAGATAATTTTTATTGTTGTTTTCCGAATTATATGGATACAGAAATATATACTATTCTATAACGAAGAAGAATATTCTATAACTATTACAGTTCTGTACGTTCTGAATTCACATTTATTTATTGGAATGACGAAAGCAATGTTGATTTCACTTTAATTTGTAATGAATTGAAGACAGAAGAAATGCATTTTACCTTAATACACACATCTGTAACAGTATGCGACAGCGAAATCGGAAGTTATCAGTTGCAAGTTTATTGATAATAGAAGCTAAAAATTATTGAGAAATTTTTCTTCAAATGTTCGGCGTGTTCTGGGTATGAAAGATATCCCAATATTCTGGAGAGTTTTTTCAAGTTCTTCGGCTTTTCCTAAGGGAAATTTTGATTTTGATTTGCTGCTGGGAAAATGGCGTCTGATTCAGCCAATGATTTTGATGGAACTAAATGAAAACGGGATAAATTAATGTTTGATATTTACAGGCTCCCGCTAGAGGGCGTACTCGAGCGTTGCGATCGCGCATAACATAGAGTGCCTGCTATAAAGCGAATAAGTAACTGCGGTTGACAAAAGTAATTGTGTGATTTTGCAAAGCGTTTGTCTTAAGCTACCCGTAACGTGAACCTTATTTTCAACACCTTAGCTATACTGATTTGTAAAGTAATTTTCACACTAGCGCTGTAAAGCTTAAAAAGCGCTAACGTTAGAATGCATAAAATCCGCAATGCTAGGCAGAATCTCTCTAATATTTCAAGCAAACGCCTTTTTCTAAAGAAATTGAATTCATTATGATTGTGGACGTAAAAATATTGTTATTTGTCTTAGCAAAGAATAAAGAAGAAATCTAGCTCTTTGAGTACGCAACCAACGCAGGCAACAGCTCAGTGAGGTATACTTTACGAGAAAAACAACTTACAGGGCGAGCAACATACTCAAACATTGCATAGCATCATATGCACTAAGATCCAGCGCATGCGCATAAGAAGCAAGGTGACAGTAAAGAGGTCATCTTTGAACCGGTTGCTTGACAACTCTACGTGTATGCTTACATACGCTGCCTCCTGCCAACCACCATTTTATTATTCCCTTCTACTTCAAAATATGTTAGCAGATTTAACCAACATGGATGATATAAATGTATTTTTAAAAAATATCTTAATTAACAGTACAGTATTGCTTATAAATTGTGCAAAAATCAGCAATAAATAAAAAGAGAAAATTTTTCATCTCCTCCCCAACCCCAACAGGGTTGGGGAGAAGATGAAAAGCGGAGTGGAGGGTGAAAACACGTTTCAAAATCCTCTACTGTTGTGCCCCTAACTGTTGCTTTTTCTTTCATACACAGGGACCTTACCGAGCCTTGGGGGAACGGTTTACGTTATGTCTATCGAAGATAGCCTTTTTCGTCTACGTATATTTTTTGTCCACAGTTCCTTATGCAGGCATCTACAATTGGATATTTTCAAGCGACGTAATGCGTATGTCAAACAATTAGATTCGACACACATGCGTGACGTCACTTGAAAGTATCTAATCAACTCTGATACGAAAATTATTCTAGCATGCTAATAAACCTTAATCTTTTAACTGTAACGTTAACCGCACACAACCACGATATCAGACCCAACCGACATACTTTTTTAGTTATCTGCTTTCTCCTAATGGTACAAACATTTGCTGTTTGGATAACGAGCGAATTAATCATTACAGTTAAGTTCACATAGTTTGAGTTTTCCATACTTTAAGTCCCTTTAATTCATTTTTATTTTTGTTCTGTCAATTCAAATTTCTTATGGTTTTGAGATCTAATAATTTCGATGCTATAACAACATTAGGTCCAATAAAGCTGTAAGATTACATGAACGACATGACAACTTATTTTCTTAATTTAGCAGAATTATTATACTTAAGTGATGTACCGTTGCATCATTTGACGAATTTCTATTGATGACTTCCAACTATGAAATAACCTTAATAAATCGTCTTCTTAACAAATTTAAATATTCTTAGAAACACTGTAATGAGGAAAATTGACACGCGCCTAAAATTTCATTTCAAACGATAACCTATTCAATGATCTTAAAATTGATACAATTTACTTACAATTTCCCACCTCCAATCCAATGAAGCACAACACTATAAATTTGCCAATTTAATTTTATTTAACAACCGTCGTTGAACAGCCGACTCATTTTATGGGTTTACTGCAACTGATGTTCAACTCCGTAGCCTTGTAATTTTGAACCCAATCTAGATGATCCTGGATCAAGCATTAGGAGAAGTTTGCCTTCGATGAGGACTTTTTCTTGGAACAAACCTGCATTGCGCAACACGATGA